TCAGATTTAAAGTTAGCCCACTACTAACTCGCCAAATAAACACAAAAAATCCAAACAACGAACTGTTCACGTACACGTCAAGCACTGGCATGCGTAATTGTTCATTATGCCATTTTGTTTTTGCCGACGTTATAAACAAATACACCGTACACGCAACGTAGAGTTATTAGTTAATAAATAAATACAAATACACCGTACATGCAACGTACAAGTTATTAGTTAATAAATAAATACAAACACACCTGACATGCAACGTAGAGTTATTAGTTAATAAATACAAATACATCGTACATGCAACGTACAAGTTATTAGTTAATAAATACAAATACATCGTACATGCAACGTACAAGTTATTAGTTAATAAATACAAATACACCGTACACGCAACGTACAAGTTATTAGTTAATAAATACAAATACACCGTACACGCAACGTGGAGTTATTGGTTAATAAATACAAATACACCGTACACGCAACGTGGAGTTATTAGTTAGCGTGTCAGTAACAGTTGGCATAGAAATTGACCCTGCTCAAGATCGTAACGCTGACCAAAAATTAAAAAAAATGGACGAATGTGAATTGGGACGAATGTGAATTGGAACGAATGTGAATTGGGACGAATCGACTTGTGGGACGAATGTGAATTGGGACGAATCGACTTGTGGGACGAATGTGAATTGGGACGAATCGACTTGTGGGACGAATGTGTTGGGACGAATGTGAATTGGGACGAATTGACTGTGAATCCTCCCTGAATTCAAAAACCAACCACATGAATAGATCGTCGGCCTCTGCCCTAGTCTACAAGAGCTGAAAATCCACAGCTATATACCGTCTTACGGCATGTAAACCAAACATATTCATTCTCTAAGACAGACCGGAAACGAGACAAAACAAAAGATTTTTCAAGTTAGCTTAGCAAGCGCTACTTAACGGTGACTGTGCTGAAAAGCCGAGGTCACGACGGAGATCATGCGTCTTACTCATGACCATTTTATCGATTAAAAATATTGACAGTATACTTACGACTGAAAGTCGGCGTTGGTAAAGAATGAACACTTGACAATTAATGACAAAGACAGTTACAATTGACCTACTTGAACGCAAATCGCATGGTTTCGTCAAAATGGAATCACGGACAATATCGCCCTCTACAGACTAATATGATGATAACTTCGTTTTTGTT